TTTCACAATTTTCGGCCTCCCAGGGCCCTTCCGGGGCCCCAGGAGCGCCCCGGGAGCGTCACACAGAACTTCAGGAGGAAACACGGATCCTGCATGGGGAACGTGTGTTAGACCTTTGACATTTGACAGACAATTTTCCCGACAAAGCAACCCAACAGCGATGTGTATAAGCATATCTGGAAGCATTCCCCTTAATATTCAGGTGAGCATTCGCATTCGCAATGACAGTCGCAGTGGCAACGGCCTTAGGATCCAATGGAATCCAAAGGATTCCTAAGGATTCCTAAGTAGGCATCCTTAGGAATCCATCGGAATCCTTAGGGAAACCTCAGGAATCCTTAGGAATCCTGAGTCCTAGGGATTCCTAGGGATTCCTAAGGATTCCAGAGGAATCCTAAGGATTCCAAAGGATTCCTGAGTATGCTTAACTATGCCTACGGATTCCTAAGGATGCCTACGGATTCCTAAGGATTCCTAGGGATTCCAAAGGATTCCTATGGATTCCTACGGATGCCTCAGCCTGCCTCAGTTTCAGCCTCAGCCTCAGCCTGCCTTGGCTTGCCTCAGCCTCAGCCTCAGCCTGCCTCAGCCTCAGCGTCAGCCTCTCAGCCTCAGCCTGCATCAGCCTCAGCCTCAGCCTCAGCCTCAGCCTCAGCCTCAGCCTGTCTCAGCCTCAGTCTCAGCCTGCCTCAGCCTCAGCCTGTCTCAGCCTCAGACTCAGTCTGCCTCGGCCTCAGCCTGCGTCAGCCTCAGCCTCAGCCTGCCTCAGCCTCAGCCTGCCTCAGCCTCAGCCTCGGCTTGCCTCGGCGTCCCTCAGCCTCAGCCTCAGCCTGCCTCGGCCTCAGCCTGCCTCGGCCTCAGCCTGCCTCGGCCTCAGCCTGCCTCAGCTCGGGCCTTCAAAATATGGCACACGATTGGTGTTCTGGGAACACGAAGATCACGAAGTGGCCCACACTTGGCTCCGGGCAATCAAAATATGTTACAGGAATTGTGTTGTGGGAACACGAAGAACACGAAGTGGCCTACAGCTGGCTCCGGGCATTCAAAATGTGGCCTGGAAATGGTGCTTTGGGAACACGAAGAACACGATGTGGCCTACAGTTGGCTCCGGGCATTCTAATTGTGGCCTGGGAATGGTGTTCTGGGAACACGAAGAACACGAAGTGGCTTACAGTTGGCTCCGGGCATTCAAAATGTGGCCTGGGAATGGTGTTCTGGGAAGACGAGCAACACGAAGTGGCCTACAGTTGGCTCCGGGCATTCAAAATGTGGCCTGGGAATGGTGTTCTGGGAACACGAAGAACACGAAGTGGCCTACAGTTGGTTCCGGGCATTCAAAATGTGGCCTGGGAATGGTGTTCTGGGAATGGGTTCCTAAGGATTCCTAAGAATTGTTAAAGATTCCAAAGGATTCCTGGGGCTGCACTTTTGTCCGGATCTGTCCGCATCCCGAACAGACCCTCCTGGGGCGTCAAGATGCTCTCTGTTGACCCCACTAGAAACCTATCAGTTTTCGCTGCTAGGAAAAAACACAACGTGGGGGTTCTGGGAGAGGTACCCAGGCTGCTACCTTTCGAGAGTTTTTCCCTTTTGGGGGCCTCCTCAGGGGCCCTTGTCGTCACCGCTGGATTCGCCTCCAAATTCTGGTCAGAACGCACCCCAGGAGAGGTCTGGGGAGTAGCGGTAATTATCGGTAAGGTACCTACATCGCTACCCTGCCCCCGGTTTCACTCTTTTGAGGCCTCCTGCGGGGCCCTCGTCGCCACCGCTGGATCCGCCTCGAAGTCCTGGTCAGCGCGCACCCTGGGAGAGTTCCGGGGAGCAGCGGTATAAGTACCTTCTGGTTTCCCCACAGTCGTTCCCCAGCGTTCCGGAACGCTCTCAGAGCGCTCCCAAACGCTCTGGGAAGACCGCGGCGCCCGAGACGAGACATCCTCCAGAACCGGCGGATCACGGAGATTCTCGATCTGGTTTCCTTTGGGTGCCCCTTCTGGGCATGGGTGCCTCGTGGTTTGCCCAGGCGCGGGCGCCCTGCGCGCTGGCAGGGCGCTGCCCATCGGCCGGCGGCTCCAGCTGCGCGGCGGGCGCCGCGACGCCGGCGCCTTCCGCGGCGCCCTCGGCGGGGCGCCTCGGGGCGCCGGCGGCGAGGAGGGCGCCCGCGGCGCGGTGGACCTGGGGGCGCTGCACGGCGCCTTTGCCCCGCAGGGGGCCGCGTCGGCGCGGAAGGCGCGCCGGCACGCCCCGAAGCGCGTGGAGCTGCTGCCGCGCAGCGCGGCGCAGAACGTCGCCATCGTGCTCGCACGGCTGGGCGTGGACACCGTCGAGCTCGCCTCCGCACTGCGGGCACTGCGGATGCCGGCCGCAGGTGCTGCAGGCGGTCCAGAGGCGCTGTCGCGCCTGCGAGAGGCCTGGCCGGCCCCAGAGGTGATGGCCCCGGTGGAGGAGTTCGCGCGCCAGAAGGGTGACCCGTCGCTGCTGCGCGACGTGGAGCAGCGGCTGTTGCCGCTTGCGCAGGTGCCGCGCGTGCGGGAGCGCCTGAGATTAATGGAGCTGCGTGGGACGCTTCGCGAGAGTGTGACCGACGCCGTCGTCGAGCTCACCAAGCTTCAGCGCGCTTGTGCCGAGCTGCAGTCATCGAGAATATTCGGAGACATAATCGCGATCGTCGTCGTGCTCTTCAACTACATCAACTTTGGCGTCGACTCCCACGATCCTCAAGCTCGAAGAAGAGAAGAAGGCACAACCATAGACTTTTGGAGCTCCGCGCGGATTTCTCGGCTCCGCGCACCAGGGATGGGGATGCCGCACTGATCGAAGAAATCCGCGCGGACCTCCAAAGGTTTGGGTTTGTGCAGTGTCGTGCTCCTCTGCAGGCAGCATCGCATAGCATGCGCGGCGTGGACGTGCAGAGCCTGCTGCGGCTGCGTGAGACGAAGGCGTACAGGGGGGAGTTCCCCGGTTTCAACATGCTGCACTTCGTCCTCCAGCAGCTGCTGCGGCGGAGGCCCCCCGCAGAGATTGGGGACGTCCAAGATCGGGCTGATGATTCGGGAGGGGGGAGATCACGGCTGGAGCCACGATATCTCCCCAGTTCTTGTGGCCCCCTCTTCTTCTTCTTCTTCTTCTTCTTTGAATGCGTCCTTTGCTCCCGGCCTCGTTCGCGCACATGCTTCGGGCCCTGATTTGCGAACCTCCCTCTTGGACGCCCCCCCTCTTGCCCGCACCCGAAGAGATCCGGCGCCGTAAAACAATGACGACATCGTGTAAGCAAGCGCGGTCGTAGCTCTTGACGCCACCCGAGCGACGCAGAACAACTAGGTTTTCTGCGCGGGCGCGGCTCGTAAAGTTCACGCGTGAGGTCGCGCGTAATCGGTCCCTCTTCCACTCGGTGTGCCGAGAGAGCGGCCAGCGGACGGTCGCCACGCACTCTCGCCGAAGCCTCGGCCCCATCTCTTTGCGTCGCTCGTCTGTACAGTTGGGGGCCGTGGTCTGGCCAGGTGACTTTGAGGTCGCCTTCGCTGCCCTTTCTCCCCGACGCCTGGCCACGCCGACCTCTGAGGCTCCCCAGGCCCCGCCGCGGGGCCTGCTCAGGAGGGGAAGAGACACACAGACACACACGTAATCGTCGATTCCCCAGAACATATGGGAACATATGGGCAGTGGGGGGAAGACAGAAACCGAGAAACTACGGGAAAATGTGGGGACTCCTGTTTTTTTTGTGTGTATTCACTTGTGTTGCGCGCCCGCCGCCATCTCGTTGCCTTGCGACGCCCTGGCCCGAGAGGCCCGACCTGCGCCCGCACCAGCTGTCCCAGGAGCCGCCCCGCAGCCTGTTCGTGCCGCTGCCGCCGCCGGCCTGGCCGGCCCCCCGCCGCTCTTGGCGGCCTCGCGCGCTGCACAGTCGACCCGCAGGGTGAGGATGGGGAGCCTTCCTCAAACGACGCGAGGATCGGGGCAAAGTCGGATCGGGCTAACTCGAACTCTCTGAGAATCGGCGGGGTTGGAGGGTGTATTGGGCGCCGCGGCCGCTCCAGAGCGTTCCGGAACGCTCTGAGAGCGCTCCGGAACGCTCTGGATCCATTTATCCCGATCCTAGCCCTGTTTTATACCCTTGCATCCTTTCCTCCTCGGTCCATCCTTGGCCACTTTCGTCGGCCGCGCCCCCCTCGAACAGCCCCGCAATGGGCGCCCCAGGCCCCTGCACCCTTGATCGCGCATCCTCAACGTACGGGTCGACTCTATCGCCCGCGCTGCCGACGCCGAGCCGGCCGCCACCGCCGCCGCCGCCGCCGAGCCGTGCGCCGCCGCCCGCGCCGCGGCTCGCAGCGCTGCCGCTGGCCCCGCCGCAGCGCTGCCGCCGCCGGCAGGCGCCGCCGCCCGCCGCGCGCGGCAGTGCCGAGGAGCTGTCGCTGCTGCGCGCGGCCTCGCGCGTCAGCGCGGAGCGCCTCGCGGGCGAGCTGGGTGAGCTCCGTGAGGGGCTCCGCTTCGCGGAGGCGGAGCTGCTCGCGCACGCGGAGGACCGGGCGCCCCTCCGGCAGGGGATCGGCGCCGTCGTCGGCGCCGCCGTCGTGGTCGCTGCCGCCGCCGCCGCCGCCGCCGCTCTGCGGCCGCCCTCAAAGCCCCTGCCGCGCGCAGGAGTACGCCGCCCCGGAGGGCGGGGACGACGCGTGCGACTCCTCGGAGGCGGAGGCGCCTTGCATTGAGGCGGCCATGTCCCTCTACAGTCTACAGGAGGGGCTTTAAACAGTAGTGAAAGAGTGGCGTGGGGCCGATTTTTCTTCTGATCAGTTCTGGAGAATTCGTGGTTTGACATGTTTCATTCTTCTTCCAAGCGCCGCCTGTAGGAGGACATGCCCGACCTAAGCCTTGCAACATCGGGGACGGCGACGACGGCGGCGGCGCCGACGCCGACGCTGCTGGCGACGATGACGGCGACTGTTGCGACGGCCACGTTAGCGTCGACGTCGACGACGTCGACGGCGGCGACAACGGTAACCGTGGCGACGACGCCGACGCCGACGACGACGGCCGCAACAACGTCGATGAGCTGGATGACGACAACGATGACGACGACGACAAAGACGACGACGACGACGAACACGACGACGACGAACACGGCCAGGACGGTGACGACGAAGCCGACGACCACGACCGGCTGGTCGAGAAGGTCGAGGCGGCCGACGTTTCCAAGCCTTTGGGCCTGGGAGGGCTTATTTTTGCTGGGGGCCATCGGAACACCACCCTGGGACGAGACACTGGTCTTCTGGAAGGGGCCGAAAGGCACAGGGCACAGGCGGACGGCAGCGCGTGGGGGAATTGAGCTGGGGGGGGGTTGGGGGCGCGCGCCTTCAGCGAGTGGGTGGGGGGAAGTATAGTCAAGCGGGGGAATGCAAGGCACCTGCTTCCAGCACCTTTCAGGGGCAGCGTCTGACGGGGATCTCGTCGCCCAGGGGGGAATGCATCGACCCCTGATCGTAAGTCGGGCCCGTCCCTCTTGAGGGGGAATCTTCAAAAATAGTAAAAAGGAATAGTCTGGGGATTATTTTTTGACTATTTTTGTTTATCTTTGGAGTATATTTGTTTTTTTTTTTCTCGCCCAAAATCCCCGTGTAGGGGGACAGGCCCGACTTAACCCTAATCGCCGAGAGGGGCCCGATGGCCCACCCCGCCCGGGAGCGCGATCGCCGATCTGTCGGCGATGTCCGGGTCGAAGTTCCCGCCCCTGAGCCAGTCCCCCCCTTGCTACAATCAGGAGGGAAAGAAACACACAGACACAATGAATCGTCGATTCCCCAGACAATATGGGAAACTATGGGCAGTGGGGGGAAAACAGAAACCCAGAAAATATTGGAAAATATGGGGACTCCTGTTATTTGTGTGTATTTATTTGTGTGTCCCAGGACCCCTTCATACAGATCCTTGCCCCTCAACCTTTTGATGCGGGGTGGCCGTGTACGGTCGGGAGCTTCGGCTTAGCGTCAAGTCGGGCCTGTCCCTCTACAGGAGGAATCTTCAAAAACAGATTTTGGGCATCTTTTTGGGCATCTTTTGATTATGTTTGGGCATCTTTTTGGATCTTTTGATTTTTGGGCATTATTTTTGGGCATTATTTTTGGGCATCATTATTTTTTTAGGGTGGATTATTTTTTGATTATTTTTGGGCATCTTTTTGGAGTATTTCTGGGGGTCTATTTTTTGTTTTTCGCCCGAGCCCCCCCTGCAAGGGGGACAGGCCCGACCTGAGCTTAGCGTGTCGTGCCGCCGGCCCGGGCCCACCACGCTTTGGCGCGACGCGCCATCCACAGCCCGGCCCCCGAGCGCCCACCTCCCGATGCCTCCCCCGGGCCTCCCACCCCGCGGGGCGGAGCTCCACGCCGTCCACTCGCTCCGGCACGGCGTGTCGACGGGGGCCGCCGCCGCGGCACTCCGTCGCCGCAGCTCGGCAGGGACAGTCCACGCGGGCGCTCGCAGTGGTCGGGGCCGGTGGCGAACCAACTGCCCGTGTGCACGAGGGGGGGCGCGGGAAGACGAAGGCGCGGCAGAGGGCAGGAGGGAGGGGGAGGGCACTCACGGCCGAAAGTGCCGCCGCAGCGGCACGTTAAGCAAAAGATCTTGACCGCAGGGCCCCACGGCATTTTTCTAGCACCCCTCGTTCGCCCCAATGGCTATGGGCCCCCCCGTGGACCTCCGCCCCCGAGAGCTCAGGGGGCGTCCGTCGCGGACATCAATTCGCAGCGTCGGACGTGCGACGATGGCCGCGATGACGACGACGACGATGACGACGACGTCGATGACGACGACGCCGACGCCGACGTCGACGCCGACGCCGACGCCGACGCCGACGTCGACGTTGACGCCGACGACGATGACGACGCCGACGTTGACAACGACGATGACGACGACGACGACGACGACGACGGCCGCACGCTGCTCGAAAGTGTACTCGTGGTGATGTCCAGGAGGAGTTCGCGGGCTGATTTTGGTCGCAGGTGGATGGGGGGACCCAGTCCCCCTGGGCGCCGCGGACAAACATCGTGAAGGCCGTTTTTGAGCGCGGCGTTTGCGGCAGTTTTCCAGGCTTGGGTCTTATCTGCCAATCCACGACGAGCAAAATGGTCCAGGGGAGGATGGAAGATGGAGGGTCGCGGAAGAAAGGAAGCTGGACGAGCAGAAGGAAGGAGGGTAGGGGGAGGCAGGATCAGAAGGATCCCAGGGGGGCCATGTGATCCCGGGCCGAGGTTTCACAGGCCACCCCCCCAGATGGGATGGGTTACAGGGTTCTGCAGGCCCCCTACCCCGCCAAAGAAAAGGGATGGGCGGGGGACGCCGACGCCGATGCCGACGCTGACGCTAACGACGACGACGACGCCGACGCCGACGCCGACGACGACGACGACCACGACCACGACTACGACTACGACCACGACCACGACCACGACCACGACCACGACGACGATCACGACGACGACGACGATGACGACGACGACAGACCATGACCACGACCACGATCACGGTCATGACGAAGCCGACGACGTCGACGCCGACTATGACCACGACGACGGCGACGACGACAAACACGACGACGACCACGATCACGACGACCACGACCACGACCACGACTACGACCACGACCACGACCACGACCAGCACCACGACCAGGACCAGGACCAGGACCAGAGTCACAACGAAGACCGATCCCCTGAGACCTGTCCTGGGGCGCCTTCGAGGCCAGAATTCCGAGGCGGGCACAGCCGTGGCCACGAGCGCCTCCCCCCGAGGCCCAGATGCACCAGCGCGCCCATGTCCTGGCCCCAAAGCCTCGTGTCCACGGGATGGCGCCCCAAAAGTCCAGACCGTGAGGGCGTGGACATGGATCCGCTCGCCGCTCCCTGAGCCGCAGGCCCCGATCGACGCCGGCAACGACGACGACGACGACGACGACGACGACGACGACCACGGCGGCGACGACGACCACGACCACGACCACGACCACGACGACGACCACGACCACGACGACGACCACGACCACGACCACGACCACGACCACGACCACGACGACGGCCACGACCACGACGACGACGACGACGACGACGACCACGACGACGACGACGCCGGCGGCCCGAGGAGGGCGGCGGCGGTCCCGGAGAGCCCGGCGAGCTGTGCGAGCAGCCGCCGCAGCCGACGCGCGCGCAAGGGCTGCTGGAGCGGCTGCTGGGCCGGGGCCTGGAGGCGCCCAGCCGCTCAGGAGACTGTCGAGCTCTGGGTTTCGAGGCCTTCGGGTGCGTTCGTCGGGTCTCGGCGGTTTTCTCCCGCCGCGGGGTCTTTCCAGCAGCTGCGCCTCGCCGAGAGCGTGCTGCGGGTGCCGGGATCGCCCCGAGCGGCCGCCGCAGGCCCGAGCTAGGCCCGGAAGCCGTTGGAGCCGGGGGCGATCGGAGGAGAGGAGGAGAGACCGATGCTGCTGCCCGTCCAGGAGCGCTCTCGTCGCCACGGCCGGGTTCTCCTCGAAGTTCCCAGTCAGAGCGCATCCCGGGAGAGGTCCAGGGAGCAGCGGCATCGGCCCCGTGTTTCCCCAAGGAGGGAGGGCAAACGGAGGATCAGATGAAGATTGAGGGTCGAGGGGTTTTTGACGCTCGTCGCCCACTGCGGGCCTCTGGGAGGCTCCTCGTCGCCACGGCTAAGTTATTTGCGAAGTGCAGGTGGGAACGCACCCCAGGAGAGGTTCAGGCTGGTTTAGGCGCCCTCCGCCCGGATGGAAACGTAACAATTGGTACGACAGGTTGTCGCCGCGTCGATGTTGGCGCTGGCGTTCAAGGCTGCAAGTGTTGTATTGGACATATAATGCATATGCATGAAATTGTATATAATTAGACAGGTGTACACACTACAAGTTCATTCGCAAAGACCTATGCCATCACCCGCGCAGCTATATCTACATATATGCCTACACATGCGCGTGTACGCATGCACATACACATTTACATGCACTAACTGCACATGTACATGTACATTTTCACATTCGCATACATAACCATGTACATGGACGTACACACGACATATGCACACACAACATAAACATGCATACACTCTATGTATGCAGTATCATACATGTGCGTATACACATATAAGCAAACACATACTTGCGTACCAACACATGTACATTCAACCTCACATACACACCCCTACATACCAGCACACACGCATATAGCAATGCATACACATGCGTGTGCACATACACGTACATGTACATACGCCCATATACTTGTGTATGCCAGATACACATATACAAGTGTCTGTATATCGACACTTTTCACATACCTATGCGTACGCGTGTACATGTGCACGCGTGTACATGTGCCTACGCATACCACGTTACACAGCCGCATACAGATACATGCATATATATATATAGTATACTCATGCATGTACATACACATCTACATATTCATGTGCATGATCATGCACATACACATGTACATGCACATGTACACATACGCATGCCTATACGTATACCTATAGCCATACATCTGACAATCCAGATATCTATACCTATACATATATGCATACCCCATCCTACACCTATAGAAGTACCAATGTCTGTACCTATGCGTATACAAATACTTATCACATTCCTATACACGCACCGTATACTTATACCTCGGCCTATATACGTGTGTATTCATCACTCGTCGCCCAGGGAAAGGGCGCAGCAACTCGTGTCCTGTGCTCTGCTCTGTGGCGTTTCTGCGCCCTGGGTTTGCATACGAGCGTTCTCCAGCTTGTTTTCGTCGCCCTCGTGCAGATCGCGGCAGGCTCATGGGAGTCCGCTCCTCGCTCTGCGGGACACGCGGGGGGCAGGCAGGGACCCCCGCCCGCCAGGTGGCGAAGCTCGCGGAGGCCTGGATGCGCGGCGACGAGGCCCGGGCACGCGGACGAGGAGGAGGACTTCAGGAGGAGGAAGAGGGATGGAGGAGGAGGAGGAGGAGGAGGAAGAGGAGGAGGAGGAGGAAGAGGAGGAGGAGGAGGAGAGGAGGGGGGAGGAGGAGGAGGAGAGGAGGAGGAGGAGGAGGATGGAGGAGAAGGACCGCGGAGGAGGAGGAGGAGGAGGAGGAGGAGGAGGAGGACGAGGCCGCGTCGACGGCGTCGACGTAGGTTCGCGCCGCGTTGGCGCGGCGGTGACTCCAGCGCGTGCGTTCAAGTTTGAACGCCGCCAGTGTCTCAGAAGCGGCCGACATCGAACGAGCAGCGCCGTCGGCAAGCCGCGAGCGCTCAAGGTGGAACGATCCACGCGGCGTCGCAAAGCCAACGCCGCTGGTCGTCACGACACGAAGGAGGAGGAGGAGGAGGAGGAGGAGGAGGAGGAGGAGGAGGAGTCGGCAGGAGGATCAGGAGGGAGGAGCAGGAGGATTCAGGAGGAGCAGGAGCAGGAGCAGGAGGAGGAGGAGGAGGAGGAGGAGAGGAGGAGGAGGAGGAGGAGGATGAGGAGAGCGGCAGGAGGAGCAGGAGGAGCAGGAGGAGAGAGGATTAGGATGGGATGAGGAGAGGAGGAGGAGGGGAGGAGGAGGAGGAGGAGGAGGGAGGAGGAGGAGGAGGAGGAGGAGGAGGACGAGGCCGCCACATTCTGCATCTGGAGCCGGCGTCGACGGAGGTTCGCGCCGCGTTGGCGCGGCGGTGACTCCAGCGCGTGCGTTCAAGTTTGAACGCCGCCAGTGTCCAAGAAGGGGCCGACATCGAACGAGCAGCGCCGTCGGCAAGCCGCGAGCGCTCAAGATGGAACGATCCACGCGGCGTCGCAAAACCAACGCCGCCGGTCGTCACGTCACGAAGAAGGAGGAGGAGGAGGAGGAGGAGGAGGAGGAGGAGGAGGAGGAGGAGGAGTAGGAGGAGCAGGAGGAGGAGGAGGAGGAGAAGGAGGAGGAGGAGGAGGAGGAGGAGGAGGAGGAGCAGCAGGAGGATCAGGAGGATCAGGAGGAGCAGGAGGAGCAGGAGGAGGAGGGAGGAGGAAGAGTTCGAGGACGAGGCCGCCACATTCTGCAGCTGGAGCCGGCGTCGACGTAGGTTCGCGCCGCGTTGACGTGGCGGTGACCCCAGCGCGTGCGTTCAAGTTTGAACGCCGCCAGTGTCCTAGAAGCGGCCGTCTTCGAACGAACAGCGCCGTCGGCAAGCTGCGAGCTGATGACGCGTGGCGCTCGCCAAGTGTTGAAGATTAACGTGAGCCAGCCCGCAGGCACTCCAACCTTGAGAAACTTCATCCTTAACGTATCCAGTGGTATGTATTCATAGTATTTTGGCAAATCGATAACCCACATGAGATGATGTCGCTGCCGTGCTCGATCGCTTTCAGCACGAGCAGCTTGAAGCCAAGCGCAGTCTAGGACAGAGCGACCTTTCGCCGCTCCCCAGTATATTCTCGAAAGCTGCTGACTGATACCTGACGCCATCCATCGGCGGGCTCTCCGCCAAATGCGATAAGTACCAGCATAGAGAATGGTGAGTCTGCTTCCACCTGATAGTTTGCCTAACATCGGAATCTGAATCCAGCGCAACTGTTTGGGAAGTAGTCCAAGTGCCTCCGAACACTGACATGAGAGACTGAGCACCTCCTACCCTTCATCGTCCAGCATCAGCGCATGCCTCGGGTGGAAGTGGGCGAAACTGGCCGACGTGCCCGCAGAGAAGGTCTTGGCAACCTTTCTGATCATGTCAGGCTCGAGGACAGGGCACGTGGTACGACCTGGCACCCATGCGTATGGTGCTTCACTGCTTGCCTTCCCGAGCTTCTTGTACAGTTCAACTTCCTTTTCGACTATGGCAACGGGGCTCCCAGAAACAACAGGCCCTTGGCACTGGGTTGGCTCTGGAATTGCCTTGACCTTGGTGAGCCGGTGCAGCGCACGAGCTCCTCGAGATGCGGATTCAGCACACCAATCACTCCATCTCTGGGTAGACTCCTTGTTCATACCAAGAACTGCATCCTCAAGGTCATCCTTGATCTCGTCGAGGTAACGACTGATGGCCTCCGTGTCCATGGGGATCGCACTGACGAGGTCACGCGCCTGCTTGACTGTGCAATCTAACCTCCCATGCAGATCTTCACCGTGATACTGAATCGTTAGGAAGCTGTCGATCTCCAACGAACAGGCATCAATGTTGCTTGATCCTTGAAAAAGCTGGAAGATCGCTGTGAGACTGTTGCTTAACCACTGCCAGCCCTTGGCGATCAGCTTGGTAGTGGTCTCATCGTCGAGGATATATGTAGCATCCACCCATCTCGGAGACAGATTTCGCCCGAAGACTCCTGCTGCCTTCAACTCGGTACCTGTGCTGACGGCTACCTGCTTTGCCGCTGTGACTGCAAACTGTGCCCGCACTCGTGAGAGAAAAATCCAGACTGCATTTACCGAGATTGCTTCATCCGTGGCCATCGAAAGGCATGCTTCTGCCAGCGCTCGATGCAAACTCCACTCCGCAGGAGGCGCAGTTGGACCGAACACAGGTGCAGACGGTAGTGCAGGCGAAACTATGCAAACGAAGCGCCTGATGCTGAAGCAATTGTCCACCACCTTCACTGTCGCGGGCCTGTGAGGCCGTGTGGCCCAACTCATGTCCGCTTCCACTCCTCTGAAACCACGCAACGCTACATCGGCCATGGCAACGTAATCGATAGTTGGGTCGCCAGTGCCTCCTCTACAAGTGACTTGGGGAGGCACTGCCGTTGCAAATCTTGCTGTGGATCGGAAACCACACTGCTCCAGCTCATTCGCAGACATGTTCCAGTCAGCACCTGCTATACATGGACCACGACAATCTGTGAGACACTGTCCCCTTGACGCAAGTATAGTAGAATTCATCCCAGTAGGCCCAATCGTGTCCTTGATGTAGCTATTAAGAACGTGGAACGGCGGCCACCCAGGCAAATCGACCAGGACATGATGGAGCCTGTGTGGGTCAAGAATATGTTGACCATGCTCAGGTTTGCGGAGCCCGATATCAGCTCGCGCGCGTACTGCCACACTTGCTGTGGGATGGCCTTTCGCATTCGCACTGCCTGGAACTGCGATCCACTTCCATCCACGATTGTGCGCCCACGTGTAGAAGGACTCCACGTTGCTGGCGTCATGCCCAATCTCCTGCGCTGAGAAGACGTGAGCACTGGAACGGCGGACGCGGTCCTTGAGTGTCTCGTGGCCACCATCCGCGTTGAACGCCTCGAGTGCATGCGGACTCTGCGACGGCGGCGTCTGCGCTGGCCTGAACTGCCCAGCCGTTGGAACTTGAATCCCTGCGACACGTACAGGGGCAACACCTTCTGATCTCAATTCCGACGGCGATGCCCCCCACACCGCTGCTCCAAGCGTGGCTTCTTCGCGAGCTCGCGGAGACGGATGTTGAAGGATTCATAGTCGCCAGCCTCGAACAACGTTCGCTCCTCCTCGTCGGACAGGTCCTCGAAAGAACGCTTCTGCCCATCACGTGCAGAAGGAGGGGGGACAATCACCATCAGGATGAACATCGCCAAGATCGGGCGGTGTGGCTGTCCCTCCATCGAACTTTGCCTTGAGGTGATCCTGACGTTTGGTCCACAACTCGGACGATAGGAAACTTTGCAACTCTGCGTCGTTGACCTCTTCTGCCTTGACATCAAAGCTGAAGGTCGGTGGCACATCGGGAGGCTCGGACTCTGCGAGGCCGACGAGTTTGGCCGTGCGCTGGAACTCCTCCTCCAAGGTAGTAATCCCTTTCTGCTTCGCAACCAACTGTGCCCTCCGAGACTCCAGCGCTTCGTGCAATTTCTCCAATTGCTGCGCCCTTTGGCTGATCTCATTCTCGAGCCTGGTGCGATGCAACTTCGTTTTGTCAAGGTCCTGCTGAGCACGTCGTTGAAACTGCGCAGGGGTCCGAAGCGCCCTGTGCTGTGCCCGCAAGGCCTTGAGCTTGTCTTTAGTCGCAACTTTGAGCAGATCGCTGTCATTTCCAGGTAGTGCTGTGATAATCGATTCATATTGCGCAATCTGGCTTGACAACTTGGACCGCTTGGTGGCATCATCATCTTCGACTTGCATGCCCGTGCCATCTTTGTCTTCCTTCCATGGCGGAATACCTTCACCCGGCGCACGCCAAATCTTGGAGCGCGTCGTGGTCGTCGATGCAAGACCGCCCCCGCCACGGAGCAACTTCTCGATGGCTTCCAGACACTTGCTTGTATCATCCTTCTCAGTGTTCTTTCGCTTGCTGTACTTGGCTTGCCCGCCCGAGGAACCTTCTTTCGCCAGGATCTCCTTATGGGCGGCCCAAGCATCACGCTTGATACGAAAAGGCGCTTCATTCCCGCACTGGCAGCGGACTCTCGATGCCCAGTTCGCCGAGGCCGAGCACCGTCCACATGCCCATGTGGGCCGCCGCGGCCCGCGAAGCACCGCTGGGTGCGGTGGCGGCGGCGGCCCTGGCACCATGCTGGTGCCCTCGTCGTAAAAGTAGTGCTCCCACAGGAGCTCACCGGAGGGAGCGTGTGGGCGAGGCCGTGATGCCTGCCTACCCACTGCTCCGAACTGCTGACCAGGCCAGCTGCCTTGATAGATGGCAATTTGAGCCAAAATGGTTACGGGGCGGAGGGGGAGGAGGAGGAGGATCGAGTGATCGAAGGGTCGTGGAGAGGGAGGAGGGGTTAAGGAAGGGGAGGATCGAGAGGTCGTACAGGCGGAGAGGGAGATAGGTTGGACCGCCTCCCGCTCACCACCCGAGCCTCCACGGCCACGGCGTCGGAGAAGTCGGGGAAGGCATCGCTCTGGCGGGCGGCGGGGAAGGGCAGATGCGCGGCCGCGCGTGAGAGCGACATTTCGTCGGAGTGACCCTTGGGTGGGGTCCGCAGGGCCCCCCCCCCAGCACTGGCTCGCGCGCTTGGAGGCAAGCCCTCCCCCCCCGCGGCCCACGAAAGCCGCGCACCAAAATTTGCTTTCGCCCGGGATATAGCACTCTTGCGTGGAGGCGAGCGGCGCCCGATCCTGTCATCGCTGCCTGGCGAGTGTAGGCTTGACGCCCTTCCCGCGCCGCCGCAACCTTGAACTCAACAGCCAAAGGCCAACTGCTACTGCCTCGACTCGTCCTCATCTGATCCTCCTCCTCCTCCTCTTCCTCCTCCCTTTCTTCGTCGTCGTCCTCCTCCTCCTCCTCCTCCTCTTCCTCCTCTCTCCCTCCCTCCTCCTTCTCCTCCTCCTCCTCCCTCCCTCCCTGCCTTCCGAATCCCCCCCCCGGGCCAGGTCGTGGGGAGGCCGTACCACCCCGAGGTCTGCGGCGCGGACGGCTTCGAGCCCGTCCGGGCCGAGGACGCCCGGCGATCGCATCCCCCGTTGTTGTCAGTGCATTCGTGCTCCTCCTTCTCTCCCTCCTCCCCCTCCTCCTCCTCCTCCTCCTTCTCCTCCTCCTCCCTCCTCATGCTCCTCCTCCTCCTCCTCCTCCTTCGTGCTCCTGCTCCTCCTCTCTTCCTCTCCTCCTCCTCCTCCTCCTCCTCCTCCTCCTCCTCCTCCTCCTCCTCCTCCTCCTCCTCCCCCCCCGGAGGAGAGGGAGCCTCCTGGGGTCCCCTCGTCGCCCGAGTTCTCCGTTAGCATGGTGGGTTGTGCCATCAAAACCACACAAACGCCCCGTTGTAGCAAATCGCAGAACATTTTGGCAACACCGACCCTCGTGGTCGGCGACGCGAGGAGACATGTGATTGATGTTGGCATGCAAGGTGGGAAAGAAAGACAGTTTTTTGTCGCTGCTGAAAGGGGCGGGGTCCAATCTCCCCCGAAAACCAAAGGGGAAGGGGAGGTTCAGGATCCTTCCTCCAGGAAAATTAATCGTCGCGCTTCGCGTGTCCCAGCCAGCCCGTTCAGAAACCCTGCCCACAGAGCTGACGGGCAAAGTCACGAAGCGACACATATACTGTAAAGTCGGGAATGTCCCTCTACATGAGGAGTATTCAAACATAGTCAAACATAGTTTCGGGAAGTTTTTTTGTTGTTGTTTTTATATTAGTTTGGACTATGTTTGATTATGGTTGGCTATTCTTTATTTTTCTTTGAGATCTCTGGGAGCAGGGGGGTGGCCTGAGAACGGGGGGCAGGGAAGAGAACAAGCCCTCTTAGGACGTATGGGCTCGCGATGTGAGTACAGTGGGGGCGCGCATCAAGAAACCATCTGCTTTTCGTCAGGGTGTCCTGGGTTTCTTCGCTCCTCGCGCTGCGCGGTGACCTCCCGCAGCAGATGAAGGAGCTGCTGCGTTCACGGTGCTCCAGTTCTCCCCGCAGGTGCACCTCGCGCACGGGTTCTCAGGGTTGGGCTTCTGGCGAGGGTTTCTTGCGGCCGCGCCCGCACTGTATGCCAATTCTTGGCCGAGGGAGGCCGCCAACCAACGACCGCGCGGCGTGAAAGGAGGTCCAGACCTCGCGGGGCCCACGCCGGGAACACCGGAACCGCGTCGGCGGTCTGGGCCCGGAGCCGACTCGAGGCATCCGCTCATACCTCCAGCAGCTTCTGCTCACGTCGCCGCTCGCTCCTCCTCCTCCTCCTCCTCCTCCTCCTCCTCCTCGCTCCTCCTCCTCCTCCTCCTCCTCCTCCTCCTCGTCCTCCTCCTCCTCCTCCTCCACTCCGGCTCACCGCCCATCAAACCACCCCAACCCAGCCCGAAGACCGCAATCTGCCCTCCATTCCCAGTGGGCGGGGGAGCTGGGAAGCATTCAAGAAGCACATCTGCAGCCCGCACTCCCCTCAGCCCGAACTTCGGGTCTTCGGGTTGGGTTGGGATGGTCTGGCAGGCAGTCACTGACGGTTCCCCATGGGGGCCTCCTCGTTCGCTCGACCGCGCGCGCGCACACACGTCCATCGGCGCCACCCCAACACACTTCTACTATAAGTGCGTCGCCCCCCCGGGGGCCGACGCGCGCGACGAGAACTCTTACAGTCTGTGCGTCGTGGCGGGCGCTTTCTGGCCACACCGCTCGGGAAACGACATACTACAGGATGGGTATGCTGCACGTTCGGCTCCGACGCGCGCCTCTCCAGGGAGGACACCTGGCACTGGCACGTCTCCGTGCGCCCCGCGCCCAGGCTCTTGGCCCAGGCCCCGGCTCGCCCGCGGAGCCCCGCAGAGGCCGGGCCATGGCGCCCTCCGCCGCCCATGGCCGCCTACCGCCCCGGGGGCGCCGCCGAGACCCACGGTCCCTCGCGCCGCCCACAGGGCACCGGGGGGGAGCGCGGAGGCCACTGGGGCCTGGGCCTCTCAGATTCAGGCGATCGCAAACACACGGGTCAAGGGGGCGTGGAACTCTGCGGCGGCTCCCGCTTCCATATGGGGAGCGCGGATTTCCGCCGCCGAGCGGGGCGGCACCGGCCGCACTTTGGGGAAGGCACCTCCCCCGATCCATGGGTTTGGCGACCGCGCGCCAAATGCATGGATCGCTAATCCATGTTTGCGCGCCCCCGACAGCTGGGGTCCGAGCAGATGGGGCGGGAGGCTCGCGCCGCATCGCTGATGCATGGGCGATGCGGCTCGATGCGAAGCCCGGCTTTCTCCACGCCGGCGTCGCCGATGCATCGCCGAGGTCGACTATGCATCGCCGCTGCATCGCTCGCCGATGCATCGCCGATGCATCGCCGATGCATCGCCGATGCATCGGCGATGCGGCGAGATCTGCCGACCCCCTCTGCTCGGACCCCGTCTGGGAGGCCTCTACGCGGGCCCCCACGGGGCAAGGGGGGGAGCACCGACTGGAAGCCGGGGCTTCGGGAGCAGATCATGGGGGCCTTGTTCAGGGGGGGAAAAACACACAGACACAATTAATCGTCGATCCCAAGGAAAATATGGGAAAATATGGGAAGTGGGGGGGAAGACAGAAACCCAGAAAATATGGGGAATCTTTTTATTTGTGTGCATTTATTTGTGTGTCCTGGGGCCCCTTCACTTGTGTGCCTTCGTGATTCTGCTCTAGCGTCGACTAGCGTCTGGGAGTCGATGAGATAGCGCCGATGCAGCGTCGACTGGCGTCGATCAGCGTCGATCTGGCGTCGACGAGCGTCGATTCGCAAGAGCCGACAAGATTGCATGGGAGGCTTCCATGGGTTGCCACCGAACGGGGCCAGCACTGGTTCCGGTCAGCAGAGGGGGGCATAAGGGCCCCCTAGGCGCCACGGCCGGGCGCGGCTCGAGCAATCTGGGGGCATCTTTGTAGTTTGAGCAATCTGCCCCCCAGGCTACTCCAGCTCAGGCCCCCTTTCCGACTCCCAGCACTGACAGTCGAGGATGCGCAAGCATGTACCCAGGCGCGCTGATTTTGCGGCAGGTCTTGTCTCTATGCGGAATCACCGCGACCCGTCGCCGCCACCCGTCTCCAGATCGGGCGGTGGTTGCCTCATGTTTCGGGGGGGAACCTGCCTGGATCCGTGGATCTGTTTGTCAGCCGCCCCCCTCCATTGGAGGTACCGCCAGGATTAGGGTTAGACACAGTCCTTTTGTTTGGAGGGGCACTCTTCTGTTGTTTGTGTGTTGGTCCCTCCACCTTCCAGTGTTCTTCGTCCTGGGCATCATGTGGCCACATCTCGACTGTAACAGTGTTCAGCCCTTGTCTGAGCCAGCCGATCCTTTACAAGCTTGACCACTTTTAAGGCTTTCGTTGCCGTGTGGCTTCGATCGATTATTCGTGATCGCTTCCCTCCTCCAAGACATGCGCTGTGTCATACAACCAAAGTTGACTGCCTTCGTTGACGGGGAGTCTTTACGTTCGCGGCGGCAGCCGCGGGCGCCTGCGCTCAAGACGGAAGGCCCGCGTCGGCCCTCTGTTGGGAGTTGCCAGCCGGACGCAGCGCACCCAAGAAGCCTGGGATGAGTCCAAGAGGCCTCCCGGCGCGCACGGCGATGCGAAACATGCCCAATGATCTATGGCATCTTTTTCCTCTCTCCATCCTTCTTCCTTTTATTTTTAAGTCGGGCCTGTCCCTCTACAGTGGGAATAGTCAGAAATAGTAGGTAATAGTCGGGGGACTATTTCCCTACCCAGGCTCTGCCTAGAAGGGTTCTTGCTCGGTTTGTTTAGAGGGGCCGGGCAGTGGAAAGCGCCCCGGGCGGTTCCCCCGGTCCCCTGGGAGCGGTTCCCCCAGCTGCGCCCCCTAGCTTTAGCTTTAGCTTTAGCTTTAGCATTAGCATTAGCTTTAGCTTTAGCTTTAGCTTTAGCTTTAGTTTTAACTTAGCTCTAGTTTTATCTTTAGTTTTAGTTTAGTTTTAGCTTTAGCTTTAGCTTTAGCTTTAGCTTTAGCTGTAGCATTGGCTGTAGCTTTAGCTTTAGCTTTCGCTTTAGCTTTAGCTTATATTTAGCTGTAGCTTTAGCTTAGTTTTAGCTTAGCTTTAGCTTTAACTTAGCTTTAGCTTTAGCTTTAGCTTTAGCTCTAGCTTTAGCTTAGCTTTAGCTTAGCTTTAGCTTTAGTTTTAGCATTGGCTGTAGCTTTAGCTTTAGTTTAGCTTTAGCTTAGCTTTAGCTTAGCTTTAGCTTAGCTTTCGCTGAGCTTTAGCTTAGCTTTAGCTTAGCTTTAGCTTAGCTTTAGCTTAGCTGTAGCGTAGCTTTAGCTGTAGCTTTGCTTTAGCTTAGCTTCAGCTCGGCTTTCGCTTAACTTTAGCTTAGCTTTCGCTTAGCTTTAGCTTAGCTTTAGCTTAGCTTTAGCTCAGCTTCAGCTCAGCTTTAGCTTAGCTTTAGCTTAGCTTTACCGTTACTACTAATGCTGCTTTCTTAGGGGCTCCAACTCCTAGGTAGGGTCGCACTGGGATAAGGTTTGACTATGTTTGAGCATATTTTGAGCATTTTTTGAATATGTTCCCTACCTAGGCTCTGCCTAGAAGGGTTCTTACTTTCTTTGCTTAAAGGGGCCGGGCAGTGGAAAGCGCCCCGAGCGGTTCCCCCAATTGCGCCCCCTAGCTTTAGCTTTAGCTTTAGACTTAGCACTAGCTTTAGCTTTAGCTTTAGCTTTAGCTTTAGTTAGTTTTAGCTTAGCTTTAGCTTAGCTTTAGCTTAGCTTTCGCTTAGCTTTAGCTTAGCTGTAGCTTAGCTTTAGCTTTAGCTTTCGCTTAGCTTTAGCTTAGATTTAGCTTAGCTGTAGCTTAGCTTTTGCTCAGCTTTAGCTTAGCTGTAGCTTAGCTTTAGCTTAGCTTTAGCGTAGCTTTAGCTTAGCTTTAGCTTAGCTTTAGCTTTAGCTTTAGCTTAGCTTTAGCTTAGCTTTCGCTTAGCTTTAGCCTAGCTTTAGCTTAGCTTTAGCTTAGCTTTACCGTTACTACTACTGCTGCTTTCCTAAGGGCTCCAAC